TTTTATAATATATGTGTATATATTTATATAGATAAAGAGAGAGGGGAAAATTTTCACTGTACATTCACTACACATCAGGTTTTCTGAAACGCAATAGCTAATAAACGATTTTTAAAAGGATAATTGTTATAAAACTTATTACATTTTTAACTTTGAAAAGATTTTTGTGCATTTAATTAATGAAATTTGCGATTTAATTTTATAAACTGAACTAAATATTATGTTTGTATAATTTTAATAATGGCAAAGAGTTAATAATGACACACAATCAAGTTTACAGGATAAGAAATGTCAACAATCACTATAGTTTTGTGGTGCATTTCTCAGGATTTTTTAACTTTTATGATTTCACCCTTTCATTATTTGTTTGTTCTTAAATGAAAACCTGCAATCAACTTTTTTCTTTGAAAATTCCATTTCAATCACTTCACGGTTGCTTCCCTACTGAACAACTGCAAAAAATATCACGTAAAAGCTTTTTACTGTTTTATTTGTGTTGGTAAATTTTTTTCAAGTTCAATGTTAAATGATGATACTGATGATGTGGCGACGTTTGTGTTAGTGCTGATGATTAAGCCGATTGGAGTGAGAGAATAAAGAGAATTATAATGGGAAAAACACAAAGTCATGAAAAATGGGTCATGTGGATGTGTGGAATGCATATTAAGGAAAAGAAAACGAGCGGAAATATTCTCAACTAATAAATTGCGAGGAAAGAGATAAACTGCAACTTGCCCTTGAGTCTTTACATTTATTATATAAAATGCAAGCTAATCAATAGTCTTCTTTTATTAACATCGGAAAGTGATTCATTTACATGTATACAACTTTTTGCATCTATTTTTATAACTTAATTTTTGAAAACAACGTCAAAAGAAATTAAAAGCAATATTTTTTTTATTCAGTAATGATTACTATTGTTTTGTATCTTCTTTAAAGAAGGAACGTGTTGTAATATTCCATGTACCTATATGATCTTTTCATTATTGAGAGAAATACCTAATTGTGAAAAGAATGATGATGTCGTAGTGTTTTCCCAAAATACATTTTGACAGCTCATCAACATCCATGACCTTGAGTGATAAAACTTCGAACTTGAACTTCGTAAAAAATACACTTTTCGTTTACGTAAGTTCATGACAAAAAAACCAATAAAAATGTTTAATACTGAATCTAATTATTAACAATTCTCTATATACCTGAATATATTTTTTATGCGTGACTTCAATATTGTACTCTCAAGAATTCACTGCATATGTATATAAATTTGTTATTGCACACTTTTTGACGAAAAGCTTATTGATTTGAATCAACAACAATGAAAACTTTTAGGATCATACCATTACTAGAGACCATGTCAGTATTATTCATGAAGGATAGAAAAATTTAAATTTCCTAAAGCTTCATTAAATCGATATTATGTCAATATGCTAAGAATTTGTAGATGATTAGAAAATAATCATGATACAGTTAAGGACGAAATCTTGTAAATCCTAAATAATTAAATTCTCAAAGAGAAATTCGTCTGGAGTATGCGTATGAAACCTGGGCAAGCGTGTAGTTTACATGGTTGAACAATTAATTAGATTATGCGTGGGTGTTCCTAGAACTTTCAGATAATAAAAAATAATCAATCGTTTCTCTTCTTATGATTGTTTAAAACCTTTGGAAGATCTATCGGATATTTAATATTAAAGAAAACTATCATTTAGTTAAATATGAAACTAGAATCCTGAATCTTTAATCAATGCAATCATTTTCAGATATTTTTCTATTCAATGTTAAGTTTTTTCTTAAAAATTCTACCTCTTCAAGCAACAAAGGGCACACACGTTTCATGGAATCTATACAGTTAAAGGTCACATTAAAGAACGCATGCGCAGAACAGAACAGACTGGATAAGGTTAGCACCAGATAAAACGTTACTATTATATTAATTTCATTTTTTCATCCCCAATAGTTCTTTTTTCTTCCTCCTATGTATGCTAAATGAATACTCTTATTACATTTACATCATCAATATTTTTCTAAGAAATCCTTTACTTAGTAACTAAAATTTTTATATTAAATATGTTTATGAATACATGTTACATTTACAATCACTTCCAGTTCACGTAATTCATTTAATAAATAGTGTGAATTAAATATCATTATCTTGATTTTACCAAGAAAAATTTAGATAAATAAATTCTGATTCTTGAATGGAAAATATTGTGCCAAACTCGAGTTGACGACTGCGCCTGTAAAATTCATAGTTAAATAAAAGGATGATAACGCAACCACTCCATAAATGAGCTGCATTCAAGTTCGTTTTTTATGTATCAAATAATATTTTCGTTACTAGATATCTATATGTAGGTATAACAATTAAAAATAATTTATTGTAGAGATCCAGAATTGAAATTTCAATGTAGTCAAGGTTAAGCAATGAGATGACTGGATATTAAATTTGGCATTAGTTTTGAACTTACAATTACGAATGTGTGCAAAAGTATATATGATGGGTCAATGATTAATGGAATTTTCATTATGTAACGAATATTTTTTCGCGCAACCAATTTGCAAAAGCATACAACCACTCACATATAAGTACACACAAATACAACTCTGATGAATGAATACACTTGTCAATGGATATTTTAAAGCCATTCGAGTCATCATCTCTGCCAATTTTGTAAGCTTGTTTTGCTTGTTTCGCTATATAATTCCATTTTATTTGCCTAGAATTTTTTGTGCGTATTGAATTATTCACGCAAATCATTCAAGTTTTTCGTATGATAATCAGATTTTTTTGTTTCTTACCCTAAGTAGGCTCAATTTTTAAATAATTGTGGATATACTATTTAATTTCAGGGAATATGTTTCCTGAGATTAAATATCATTCACTTACGTATACCCTATAAGTCATTTCAGGTTTTTTTTCAATCGTTCGTCTTTTCAAGATCAAGGTCAAACATTTGTGGTTGCCTGTACTATTATTTCGCACGCTGAATGTTTAAATGCAAAGTCCATTATCTTAATACATATTTGCAAGAACGTTCCTACGTTTAGTTGTTGAATAATTTTGTAATTACATATTTTATTTATGAATAATGTCGACTACAGTTTCATTAGTTTTAATATATCAATTCCTATAGTATTTTCACTCACAAAATGGCTGCCGGTTTTCCAATTTATTTATAATATGTTGGTCAGATTCAGAGAGAACATAAATACATTTAAATTTTATTAAAAAGGTAAGAGATTATCTTGAAGGTTATGCAGAATTTAATAAGATAATTCCTCTTATTCCCTTCATCAGTCACTAAATAAAATCATGAACTATATCTAAGGAGACATGAATTTTCAACTTTTTTCTTATTTATTTTTCTGCGTCATTATTTTATTTTATATTTTTTCACACACAATTTACTGGTAAAATTTTCAACCAGATCAATATTAAAAGAAAAGTGACTCATCTACTCACCTGATCTTAGAAATCAACTTCAAACTTTGCTTTTTATTGTTTGCCTAATTAAATTACATTTTCAAACTAAGGTCATACTAGGTAAAAAAACAACTTTAACCATACCAAGCGACGTCCAATTTTGATGTGTCACAAACACAGCGGTAGGAAAACAACAACAAACCATTTTTTTTCTGAATGCGTCACAGGATTTCTTTTCATTTTGAATTTTCTTTTTAATATTCAGTGTCAGCTACTGAACATAGAAAATATATAACAAATATTAGTTTTTCCACTTGAATTGTCAAATCAACTATTACTACTTGCTAATTCTGACATCACATTTAACTCAAATTTTATCTACTTATAGACAGATACATTTTCTGTTTCGTTATTCTATTTCTTTTCCTTTGCTTCACGAGTTTTGAGCTTTAGAGATTACTCATCATTATTAAATTTCGATTTATATTACAAATATTTAAAGTTTTTTCAATGTTATTCTTGGAGCAAAGTTGACAAAGGTCCGTGTTTGCCTTCAAACCGCTGTGATATGAATCCTATGATCAAGGCTGTGCTTTGTGCAAATATTTTTCTCTTGTGGACTTTACCGTGATGTGAAGCCGAGTGTACAACAAGATAATTATAAAATGTATGATTGTATTTGATTGTATATATTCTGGTGCTTTAAATACGAGTTACCAGATTTAAATCATGAATTTTGTTTCATTTACGCTAATATTGCTTTCTTGATCTGTTTATAGTCCCTCTGAACACTAGTATTTAGTGTGTCCTTGAACTTAAAACTAGTCATCTGGCAAGTGAAACTCATATCTCGCGTTTGCGTACATACAGTTTTAAAATTTATACATCCATTTTGATGTACATATCAAACAATTATACATTCATTGTACATTTGCGATACTTGGAAATTAATAATTGTTTCTTTCTGGACCTCATTCTTTGATTTTTCCCGAACAAAAAATGTCAGTTCTATTTTAACAAGAACTTACTTATACATTGGTAAGTTGAAATACAATGTCAAAGTCATGGAGATTTTTTTTAAATAAGAGAAGCCACTATAATTTTTGCACAGCGCAAAGAAAACGATGCTCACGAGTGTATTTGTAAATATACTCAACATAATGATAAAAAACCTTGAACTTGAAATATTTAAGTGTGTTTCCTGATGTGTTCAATGTTTTGTTTCATTATCTGCTCTTTACTTCGGAGATTTCACTTGTATTTTGGAGGAAATTTTTGTGGAAAGTAACAGCGGGAGAGAATATAGAAATACATGTTTATATAGAACAACTAAACAAGCGAAGCACACAAATATAAGTTAATAAACAAAATATTTCATGAATCGATTTTGAGCTGAAATTTTCAATATGATGAATAATCAAGTTAAAGACGATTTCATCGATTTCTGCTTCTAACATGCAATTCAACAATTAACATTAATTTCATTATCTATTTGATATAATATGAAATTTTAAATTCGTAATGAAAAACTTAACTTATTCATTCATATGTTACAATCTTCTTTAGGCTCCTAATACCTATTTATAATTTTCATCAGCAATGACGTGTCAATTGTCATGATTGATGATTTTACGTCGTAGGAAAATTTGCTATTCGTGGATGATTTAACTTTTAGAAACATAAAAGTATTGGTAAAGTTTTCCAACACTTAGGTGTGTTTTTTACACATGAAGAATAATCATGAACATCATGAACGATTTTATAACGGCTATAAAAAATTCAAAGAAGCTTTTAAAAAGCCTGGTAAGTAGTGTCAGAGGATTTTCTGAAATATTTACAGGCAATCCTTTCAATGCTGAAGAACTTTAACAGGTATCAATACCTGTTATTATCGAATGAATTTTTAAGAGAATGTTTTTTTCACAGCTGTTATTTTCCAATGGCTTTGAAAGATACTCTGAGGTAAATTGAGTCATCAATCTTGACACAATCAACAAATATACCTACTTATTATTTAAAGTTTAAATAATCTGAAACCCTTAACTAACTATTTTTCAGAAAAGTGTTTTTTTTAACTTCAATAATTATGTTGCAAGAAAATATTAGCACGGGTTGTTGGATCAGTTAGGTAGACAGATTTAAGTATTATTTCTCTTTTATTTTACTTTACATAATACATATTATATAGGTATATATATATTTGAAATTATTATTAATTCTTTTTTATTTTGAAAATGAAAATGAATTTTTAAATGAAAATTGAAATTCGTCAAGTACGGGTGGTGGAAGCGTGTTAGGACTAGTAATTGTTGACGTCCATCCTGGAGCTGGTCTTCTTGGTATAGGTCGTAAAATGTTACAATTAGTGGCTGATTGAAACATCGTCTCGTATGGGTTTCTAATAAAAAAAAGTTTGTTAGTAAAAGTTAAGCTAGTGATTGTTGTCAAAATAAAAAAGATAACAGAAATAAATGAATGTTTTCTAAGAGTAGATGTTGAAGATGATATTTTGTTTTTCTAAGTGGAAAATAGATACATTAAAAGTTGCTCAAAACATTATGCATAATGCCAAAAGAAAGGAAAATCAAAAAAAGCTTAAAAAGACGATCAATTGAATAGTGAATTAACATCTGTTGATTAACAATTTTTTGAGTTGCAAATTAAAGTTATAATTCAAAAGCTAAATGGTCTTCGAACGCATAATGTTAAATTATAAACTCACTGAACTTTCAAAAGCTCGATTAAATGAAAATGAGCATTTGATTGCTAAACAAACGAACAAAATTGATTTGATGGCTAAATTCGATTCTCAAGAGATGGAATTAAAGAGCAAGCAAGGATACACAAAACAACACTTTATGATATTGTGAAAAAGTTATTTTGGAAATTGTCAACTGAATTCACTAAAACAAGCAACTCGCTTGTTGCTGCATCAGTATCTTGTTAGATAAAACATTTCACTTAATAATGATTATGAAGGCCAAACTCCAACAATAAAACGAAGAAACAAAGAAAAATTAATATGAAAATCAAAGTCAATATGATGCCATAATTCTGGAAATAGAATGTTTGATTAAAAGTCTTGAGCAACAAGAATTTAGCAGAACAAAACTATTGCTTGAATTTTTGAAGATCATATTGCAGGAATTGATAATGACCGCATACAATTGCAGCAGATGCAAATTATCATTGTCAGGAATATAACCGAGTTACAGATATAATCAAATCAGCACGGCCAAGCGTTTCATTAGCACCTGAAGGAAATTATGAGCAAAGTGATCCAAATCTATAAGACTTCTTGACAAGCAATCTTTTCACAGATTTGTTGATTGTTTTGAACAACATCGAAAGACACAGAAAAAAGTTTTCATTAATTATCTATTTAAATTCAAAATTAAGTTGAATGAATGATCAAATGATTGATAATATATAAGAAAAATCTTAGATAATTGAATAAGCTAATTTTCAATACGAAAATTATCAATTTTGTCAACTATAAGTAATTGAGTAAAAACTTTAGTTATTTCTTTCAAAAATAATACAATTTATGAAAAAGAAAATTTTATAATTAGATATTTCCTTTAAATTAAATTCATAAATATTTTCTTTTACCTGTATTGACAGACATAACGAAATGCAGATCTCTGTTGAAAATAAAGCTCCGAAAATGATTGAAACCTTCGACGTTCTCTCTCAAATTCTAAAACTGGTTGATGCACATTTTTCTGGATAACAGAATGCATCTGAACAATTTTATTACATCCAGAAGTAGATTTAACCCTGTCACTAGAATCACTGACTTGTAATGAGTGTGATAATAAATGTTTTTTCAGGTACGATTCCCTTAAGAAAAAAGAATTATGAAGAACATATTTTTAAACTTAATATTTATAGTAGATATTGGAAAAGAAGTGATGATCATAATTGAAATAATTTTAATTTTTTTGTGTGTATTCACTAACCTCCTGAAAATTCTTCCACATTGCGAACACGGAAATTTTTCAAATTGGTAGCTTGGTTCAACTTCACATTTCTTTTTGTCATTCTGTTCATCAAATTTTTCCTTTGATTGTTTTTTATCGGGTAAATTTCTAGGTTTATGCCATCGTTTATGTGATGCCAGGTTTGCTGGACAATTAAAAACTTTATCGCATTCAGAACAACGATATTCGATATGAACAATTCGACTACAACGATGTTGTGCGAGTCCAAAAGGATCTTCGTATAGAGAACGGCATAATTGACAAATATAATTTCCAATTTTATTCTCAATAAGACTAAGAGCAGCTTTAGCTTCTTCAGTGACCTCAACGATGTTAAATGCAGGATCAATATCACCCTTCCTTACGACAAGTTCTTCACCATCGTCCAACTTTCTGATGATCGTTCCTGACACAGGACTTGTTGTTTCTTCGTCTACAAGTTGCTTTCGCGATTTAACACGTTTTCTTTCATGCTTCATTTGACGAAGTGCAAAATTTGCATTTTTTGCAATATTTATATCGAAAGCATTTGGAAGAGTCTTATCAAAAAGTTTTGCGAAACCTTCTATTGCTTTTGAATGAAGTTTTGGATCATCAAAAGATGTTTTTCCATATTCAAGAACAGTTTTCTTAACACTTTTTGATGTCAATTCTTTAAAAACGATTGAATAATCATTTGATTCAATGTCGACAATTTCATCAGACTCTTCACTTTCACAATCAGACGTTATCAAATCTTCAGTTAGATTGCTGTCATTGAAACAAAAATAGTTTGTTTTACTTCTTTCGCTACTTTTAAGTTTATTTTCTGTTTCGTTATCGGAACTTATAATATCAACATAATCATTAGAGTCAGAAATTTCACAAATTTTCGAATCACTTTCAACTATTCCACTGATATAACTTTTATTTTGTTCTATATCACTTCTGAAACTTTTCATATTATCAGTGGATATATTGTTAGAAAAGTTGTTTAATTGACTTGAATGCCTTTCACCCTCTTCAATTTCGAACGTTTTTGAATCCATATTTAATATTTTTGTGCGTTTTCTTGGCGGTGAAGGTGTTGTTGGAGGAGTTAAAACGGGACGGTATCTCAAATCTAATGGGAAATCTCTCATCATATTTATAAAACCCGATGGTGGTTGAAAAATTGCTAGTGAGTTAGCTGATGAATATGGTACCGAATTAAAACTCATTGAACCTGATTTTGGGGAAATTAAAGAAAATCCACCAGAATACATTTTTCTAATATACTTTTTTTTTTCTTTATCCTTCACAAAAATTTTAATTTGCACTTCTCCATGCTTTCTATGAAGTTCTGTAACTAACTGAACGACTAAGATTTTCTCATTCTCCTTTTGTTTTATGCGCTTTTTCACATTCAGCCGTAGCCAATACAAACGGAGCAAAAATGTTTCCTTCCGTAACATTTCATCGTCCTGTGTACATTGATATTATCATCACTAAAATATTGTAGCTTTTTGCGCACAATCGAGAAAATGTTGTAGGTTGGACCAAATTCTTATGTTGACGGTTGTAAGAAATTTTCTTGCTATTCGTCGCAGTTTCAGGATATTCAATCTGTTCAAAAATTTTCCCAGATCAAAGAAACTGTTGAATTGAATTCAACAAGTTATTTGGATTATGTTTGTTTTCAATTCATTACTATAGTTAACTAAATCCAAAACAATTTTTAGAAAAAAAAAGAATTAATAGCTAAATAAAGAATTTCTTTCTTTCAATACTACAGTTGCTTCTAACTTTGATTTATCAATTCATTAACTTCTTTCTGTTACTTATTAAAAGGGAGTGAAATATTTTTTTTTATGTTTATTGGTAAACGATTTACTGTTGATAATAATTCTGTATTAATATTATCCTAAGGAACTCCTACAATTAATGTATTTCTTATAAAAATGAAATGATCAAGATGAATGCTGAACATTAAATTTCCTTAATTTTTCTCAGGGATTTCTGGTTAGTTTGAGGATTTTATAAGTATCGTAGAAATACATTTGTTATTATTATATTGTAATAATTTCTTTTATTCAATGTTTCAATTTACTAAATCAAGACTAAACAGAGAGAGTAAATAGAGCACATAAATATGAATACAAAGTCACAAAATAGTGATATCATAAAACATTTGATTTTTTTAGAATAGATAATTATAACTTCAAAACAAAAAAAAATCATCTTTATATCAAATATAAGAAAATAACTGAATTAAAATCATCATTGACTCTTACAATGAATGATCGACACCGCCCATTATTAAGGTTTAATGAATTCTTCGAAAATTTCTAATATTCTCGATAACGTTGTCATGGTTACTATTATTAAAGCCCTACTTTAGATGTTAGATTGAAAATATTGTGAGGGAGATAATACAGATTCTTTACGAAGACCCACCCATCAAATGAAATGAAACTATCATTTAAAAATAGCTGAGTATTTGGAAGACAAAATAATTTTAATTGTCTTTATTCTTGTACAATTTGTTACATCTAGTGAAAGTTTTTATGCTTCTTTATACACATTTAATACTACTTAGTAATACTATTTAATGGAGAAGGAATTTTGAAACTATCCATTATATCCAAATTAGTAGAAAAATCCGTATGCAGGTAGAATGACAATTATTCCTTTGGGAATTTCTTTTTTGTAAGTGATTCCTAGGAAATATTGTCTTTATCAAATGTAGAAATTCTCCAAAAAGATATAAAACATTTTTGTACACGAAAGTAAAATTGTATCCCAATCCAACGCTCATGCAAGATTTGCTATTACAAAATATACGTAGGAAAATTTACATTTAAATTACTGTTTATATTTGAATATTTTTGAAAAAATTTCCTCACAAATTGGCGTCTTACACAATTTTCTCTTATAACTTAACTTCAAATTGCAACTAAAGTGTATTTAATTTAAATTATAACTCGTCAAAGTACTAGTTGCATGGAAATTGGCTATGCATATAAAGTAAGCCTAATGGAATCTCAGTTGAAAACTTACTCAGCTGTTGAACAAGAGCTGTTGTTAAACTTTAGGTTGAAGGGTATAATCATGCATTTATTATTTTCAAACATCTATTTATTCAAATTCAATGAACTTCAATGATTTTTATTCATTTAACTTATGCGTTAATTTTATTGATAAGCAGATCTGGTTTGAGGGTTGAAAAGTCTAAATAGATATACAAAATACATTTAAAGATCATCAAAATTTCACATCATCCAAAATACGCTTCTTTAAATTCCTTATTACACAGAAGATTATGTGTGAATGGGTTACATCAGCTATGCAATCGACTATAAGTAATTTTGTTTAGCCAATTTCACTTCCGTAAAAGAAACAACGGGGGTGCATTTCAGTTTGTAAGAATGAAATGGAACGAGGGTTAAAAATTGCTTTTTAACAGACAGAATCAAATCAAAGTATTTATAGGACTAAATCATGGGCACTTTATTTCAGTATATATTTATCTAATATTATCAAGAAGAAAATAAAACAATTCTCTTCTGCAATTACCTTTTTGTGCAAGTCGATTTTCCTTTGTTTTAAGTTGAACGTTTCCTTGAAGTAATGTGAAATCTTCATGAATTAATTTTTATTTTAAAAATGTTTAACAATTAGTTAAAAGAAAGCAATTTTCACCTTGTCTGAAGACATCAAGATTCTTCGAAAAAAGTAAATACTTATAAAGTTCGAAACAGTTTAGTCTTCATTAAGTTACGTAACTTTTAATATAATTTCCTTTCTTGACACGCAAATCCCAATTAATTATTCAAAAGATTTTCCCATGTTTTTACAATTAATCTCTTTCCAAATTGCGGAGACTTGTCATTGAGTTAATTTCCTTTCCATTTGGAATTATCTTTTATATTTAATCCCTCCTGTCGTTCTTTCCAATTGTTCACATACGCACATGATTTTTCTATTTTAATAATATAAAGAAACGAAAGAAACCTTTGACCTTTGTGACATCTCATTGAGATTTCGATTTTTTTTCCTTTTTTTGTAAAAAGGCATTAGAGTTATATAAGAAGAATTTTGAGAAATTGTTAACCACACAAGGACACTTCAAAAGAGTCGCTTTGTTCCGGTATCACGCAGTAAAAAAAATTCTGAAAATATTAACCTTGCATCAGTAGTCTTTAAAAACAGACACTAAAAAAGCGAATCAATTTTCTTTTTCCTTATTCAATTTTTCTTCTGATCTATATTGGATTTTTCCTTGAAGTTTACCAACATATAGATATGACAAATCTTTTAACAAAAAGGTATCTGAAGACGGAAAAATTTTCAATAGGGATTACACATTATTTTCCTACAGTTCAAGAGACTTAGTTTTTCCTTCGTCTTTGATTGAATTTAAAAGGTTTTAGGTTGAATGACGTTGTGAGGAATATGAATTGGACGATTAAGTTAACAGAAAAATGATTTGGATTCTTGTCATATGAGAGTGTTCATATTATTTTCCTTTTTCTGGTTCAATACAGGCTCACGCTGATGCACATTTAATTGCATTAAAGATTTAAATAGAAAAAAGGAATTTTTTATGTATCTAAAAATGTTTCACCTATTGTTGAAGAAATTTTTACATTCTTATTATTTTAGTAATTGATATTTGAATTAAAATATTTCAATATTTACGAAACAAGTGCTGTATCAATTCTGTAGCAGAATATGACTTGATTATTGTGATCTAAATGAGTGATCCCCGTATCTGTTGTAACGAGAGATGTTGTTGGATCAACCGGAATTTGTAATCGGTAAGCCTTCTGTATTCCTGCTGGAAGTGGGCAAGATCTTTGTGTCAAGATACTACAAGGATTATTTATGATTTCAGCTGGAAGTTCTTGATTAAAAATAATCTTCCCGAATACAGTTGCACGTACGCGAGTCATGATGGTAATTGAAGTAGTTCTTGGAATAAATTCTACATTAGGTATACCCGAATCATTTCCACGTGATAATTGACAAGGTTCTGCCAAACATGGATTTGTAATGCTTCCGAAAAATACTGCATCAGGCATAGGAAGAATAACTGAACACACTTGAACTGGAGTTCGGGCAAGGATAGCCTCGAATGTAACGCCAATACCAAAATATACTTTAACATATACAATTACAATTACATACGGTAAAGTGAAATATTTCTAGGAAAAATCCGATATAATTTCATTTTTATTGTCCAGGTGGTAATCAAATCAACAGATGTTGATTGCATAGTCTCAAGAGAATAAAGATTAATCAATAAATATCAATTGATAAGTGTCAATAATAAAAACCACAAATTTGGACGACACTACTTGAAGAACTAATTTTTTATACATTTTATTGACAGACATAAGAAATGCTATCAGCAGTACACCACTTATAATATATAAAATCTTAATATGGGAAGTTTTTATGCTATATGTTTGATTTAATTTTGACGTGTGTAAGTTTAAGAAATTGCAGACTGTAAAGATCGTTTAGGAAATTTGTACAATCTTCAGAACGAGTTAATTTCTTAGAAGGATTAAGGTTTGAAAATAAAAAAAAGAATTTAAAAGCTTCACGTGTATTGTGCAATACTAAATAAAATAAATAAACATCACTCTTCCTATGAAATCGATCTTTTGCGTAATGATACTTTTTATAAATAATCCTAAAACTGTTACAAATTATAAAATTATTTAAATATTTATGTATAGCTGTAGTAAAGCCAAACGAATGCTGAGCTTCATAATGAGAGTAGATAAGCACTTCAATAATATCCTAACTCTTCTTATATTTTTTGGGTGAGGGAGTAACATGGAGCTTGCCCACAAATGCATAACTGATAACACTTCTTTTTTCTCAAAAAATTTATTTACCTACATGCTTATTTTATGTAATTTTAACATTGAACTTTATTTCGTAACGCTGAAAATGACGATTTTATTTGAAGGCAGATTTTAAACACATTATTATTCTTTAGTCAGAATTGTCGGAAAGAGTTTTATTTTAGTTTGACGAGGTTTATATAGATTAGTTCAAGGTTGAACTAAAGTCGTGAGATGCAATTCTCCTATCTCTCTTCTAATTACATTACAACACTTTATTATTGACATAACTTATTAGATGAAAAATCTTTTACTTTTATTGACATACGTTTTTACTTTTATTTCTGTGCATTTATAAAAACACTGAAACCAGTTTTTGAACTCACAATTCATGTAAATATTTCTCTTAAAAGACAAAGTTATACTGCTTTATAAAGGTTCGCTTGTTATAGTAGCTTAAATGCAAAAATGAAATAAAATAAAATAGCTTATTTTTGAATCTTTATCGATTAATCTATTTGTTTATAAATTGTTTATCAGCTTTAAAATTTTGATTCTACATAGGTTACTCAGTGTTAATTAGGGTGAAAAGTGAGAAATTGTTTGTGTTAAGATTTTTAAAAGTAAGAATAAATATCAATTTACGGGGGATTGGTTGAACTGTTTACTTGAACATTTACAACACAAAGAGTATCTTTTTGATTGTTTAAATTTTTATGGTTTTGACATGTCTTGAAATTTAATACTGCTTTATTTCACGTTTGGGAAGCAGTCGTTATTCGTAATTATAACAATAAATTCATGTTGAAATCATAAGTTGCAAATATTTATAAATATAGGAAATCCATTAAGGGCTCGAGTCTTGAGGTGATGAAAGTGAATAGAAAAAGAAATAGCTTCGAATCCCTTTTCTTTTTCTCGAATCAAAATCGTAATTTAATCTTCGCTCTAAATTTAACATTAGTTGAATAGCAGGAGATTTTTGAAAAACTCTGCTGAAATGTATAAAAGGAATCAATAAGTGTGTATGAGATTGAAAGACGCTAAAGCGTGTGAGTGATGAGATTACGGGGCATTCTTAAAAATACGTTACCTTGGCACTAAATTTGTTATACTGAAATACGCGAAAATTATTTCTTTCGAAATTTAATCAACCATCGCATGTTTCTCCCCACATTCTAATATTATTAAAGATAATACAATAAGAAAATCCTCTTGATCCTTGAAACGCTACATTACTGCTACTACTGATTCTAACAAAATCTGATTTTTTGCAAAGTACATAAAATAAAGAAATAAAATGTATTTAGAGATATTTGTGACTTTTGGTGTAAACAAAAAATCGTTCTGAAATATTTTTGAAGCTTGAATTTTAAATTTTCAAAGCTGATGCTTTCATACAAGATGTATTGAATTTATTCTACATAAATACTAATGAAATCTCGTTTACTTCAGTTATTCCGTCTATTTCAAGTTATCTCTATCGTTCTAGAAAACGAAAAGTTACCACATTGTTAAACACACTTCACATGGACAATCAAAGGAAATCGTTCATTTTCAGGCTGAGTCCATTTAGTTATTTTATATATATTGAAATGAATTCATTTATTTAATCTTCCTGTTCTCAAGAGACGTAAAAGTAATTTGACCAAACGCTTTTCTCTGAAAATTCAATTGATTTGCGACAGGAATATGAATTGTGATGGAAAAACTATGAGTAACTGAAAAATTGTTGGTAAAACTTTTAGGGGAAAAATTCATTGGAATTTTTCAATTTTGCTTCCTAAATCAGTTATAATGACGTAACAATGAAAACATTTCTATTAGATTAATGTTTTCCTTTCTATATATTATTTCCTTTTTGATGAAATAAAAGTAACTTTGACGGTGTCTCTGGAAACATTTTGTGGTAATTTTTGGGTGAGCGGGAAAATTGTTTCTTAAAATTTATTGTGTACGTCTGTCCTATGCATGGTTTGTTAATTTTATACTGAAGGTAAAAATTGAAAGATAATACAATATTTTCCAATATCTCAATTAACGTAGAATATTTAGAATTTTTAATAACGTCATAAAAAATTTGAAAACTTTGTGTTTAAGATAGATTAATTAATAATGTGAAGGGTCCCTTAACGAATTCAAATAAAATTAGACGTACTAAAGTTTTAATTAAAAAGTTTGATTTCTTTAAACTGACAGTGGTGATGGGAAGCATCATTATTTCATTAAATTTTATTAAAATTAAGACCAGTTCGATTGACTGCATCTTACTGAATTATATTTTCAGGATATCAATATTGAGATTTTACTTAAGCATAGGATTTTGTTGGAACATTTCTAAAATATTCTTCATCAAAAGCATATTTAAGGCTGATTATGCATAAATATTTGATGAGAATTTAATGTGTCTCTGCGTACATGGGTTGGAAGAGAAAAAAATCGTCATGCATATATGAACAATGTCTAAACGTGGAAAATTTTTCGCAACCATCAAACATTTATGGCCCATCATGAAGAGAGAAATCAATAATGCGAAATATGAAAAAGGTAAGTAATATATTTTTCTAAGTTATTTAAAGCTATGATTTCGTTGTCAAAAACATATACAAGATTGTACCTAAGATTCAAATTAAATTGAAAATGAGTTCTAACTTAAAACATACAATAGATATCTAATCTATAAAAATTTATTATCTATTTTTTTAAATTAATGCTAACGCGTTAAGAAAGGGCTACTGCTTTATACATATACCTACTTAAACTATAATTTTAAATTTCCCAACTGTAAAACAAGTTGGTAAATAATCAAATTACTTATTCTATTTTTATAAATTATCTACCTATATGAAAATTTATTTGAAAAATATTAAGCTAACAACCCTACAAATGCATATTTCTTGTAGACATTTTGTTTACAATTTTAATGATTTATTCAATATTAATGATTTTCTGGATATCATAATGCATTAATATCGATATGGGAAAAAAATTGATTCTGAAGGTTTATAATTTTACTCATAATTTTTTTTTAAAAAAGAGACTTTAAACAGATAAGATATGAGACTTATCCAATATGAACTCAAAAATTGAGAGAAATTGTGAACTTTCAACGTGTTAAATCTTTCATGTTTATTTAAACCTGCTGAGTTGAACAGCTTTTGAGCCTATTTAAATAAATGACGACTTTACATATATCTAACTATAAAATATTATCGAAAGTCTGTGGTTTTTTAAAAGGATATTTATGTATGTATACCACTTCAAAATTGCATTCGGGAATTTCCAACAATCTTCCACGTAAGAACTTTTAATATTTCGTTAGCTTGTTATCAGAGCATTACAGGGATTAAGAGAATTATTTTTATTTAAAATTCACCATAAGATAAAGTTTTGGAATTCTGTTTTCTTCGATAAAAGTCTTGATTCAGATTACAAACAACTTTGAAAGAAACAATTTCGCATATTCAATTTTTGCTTAATACAAGAATGAATTTTTATTTGATGAATATGAAGTCAATGAATTTAAATAAAATAATATTAAGTTTAATTTTTTTTTGCCTTTTAATGGATAATAGCTTATCAAGGAATGCAAATATTTCTATTGAATTTGAAGATTGTGGTAAGGTTAATTTTGAAGAAATTTTTCTTTAACCCATATTTTATTTACATATTTAAATTTAACTAGGAAGCCAGTTCGAGCTGTTAAAATTACAAATTGCATCCTGCAATCAAGTTCCATGTAGAGTTGAAAAAGGTTACTTTGAATAAACTTTTTTATTTATTTTTAATGTACATACATAGATATCTAAATTTTTATCATTTAATCTCACAGGCAGTTTTGTGACTATTACAGCAGAATTTGACGCCAGCAGTAAATTATATTTTATGAAAAGCGCAATGAATCATTTTAGTAATCTTCTCAATAAATTAATTTGATTTTTTACTGTAGATTCACCATATTCACAAAATTCAATGACGCATGAAGCATTCTGGATTATTGATGGTGTTGTTCATACAGGTAATAAAATTTTGATTTTTTTTACTACATATATAAACGTCCACATATATGTGTATAATGACTTCAAAAGCTATCCTCATTCCAACTTTGTGTGACTATTCATCGAATTGTCCAAGAAAAACATCTGATGGTGGATTAGAATTTTCATCGGATATTTATGTTTCAAAAGGTTTACCACAGGTACGTAAGAATACATAAATATCCTGTACATTTTAATTTATAAGTTCAAAATTGATAAACCAAGTGTTTGCAGGTTAATGGAGTAATGAACTTCAAAACGAAAAATTTATACGGCGATGTTTTGATGTGTTACAAAGTACCAATTAATATATATTAATGATTCAATACCTCTTCAAATAAATTTTGATAACTCTTCAATCTAATCAAACATTAATGTCAATAAATTTATACTCGAATTATGAAACAATAGTATCCACCTGATTTATTGCATTTATTTATATTATTTACTTTAATTAAAGGATTATTGATTTCTTTCTTAGAATTTCTTAGCATTTCTAAAGAAATCCATTAAATGTAAATTGTTCTCAGTAGGAACTCAATTAAATTTCAAATCTTCATTGAAACAACTAAGTAGGTACCTAATAATATGTTTAAGATCGTGATCACATTCGGAACACTACCCAGTAAACCGATCACTGACGTTTCATAAAAAAAAAACACTACAATTCAGACATCATTTACGATTATAAATAGTTTCTAAAACTAGATGGATGGGAATGTATGTTCATCAATAATGAGACTGAACTTGTGAATATTGACGAGCCTCCAATAAGGTCAAAATTTTTTTTCTAAATTGCACTCAAAAACTGAATTATATTAAAAGATTATCAGTAGTATGAATCGATCTTCTGATGATGATAACTTCTTCGCTATCAGAAAAAGCGTATAAAGGTAAATTAAAGGCTTAATATACAAAATGTAGATATTTTCATTTAATTTTATTTATTTATTTATTCATGATTAACTAACAGAAAAATAACATTAACATACTTTTTTGTTTAATTATGAAAAACTTTTAATAAAATATGTATTTATATTCAAAACAAGCTGTTAAAAACTAATATTTTTTATTGGAATTAATTTTCAAATTATGTACATACATCTTATAATATTTAAACTATTCTTGCATCGATTTCAAAGCAACTTATGTCAGCATTTCCCGATTTTAAAGCCCAGCGCACAACAAGTTGTATTCTGGGATATAACTCAAGAACATCAAATGAATTCTTATATATATAAGTTTGACCTTTTCTAAGAGGGCAACTTGTTTTCTTTCCTGATTCATCGAATATGTTATTGCAAGCTGTAGTACCATCAACACCAACAAAAGGCACATAAAATTGTCCAATAGAAGCTTGAACACTTGTCGTGAGATCTTTAACTATAAAGATTAAAAATATGTTAAGAAAAATTTATTTAATTGATTTTAATACCACTTGGGATTTTCGAGCGCATCGCTCAATTAATTTTTTGTTAAAGTCTGACATAAAGAAAAATTGAAAATCAACTTTCAATTTTTCTTTATGTGAAACTTTAACTAAGAATAATTTAGTTAATGATATCATTTTTCTTTATGTTCGAATTACTATCTCTATCAGGTTTGATTTTCAACGTAATTGTGGCTTTTGTTCTTCGCTTCAGTCTGCATATTCCACCTGCACAATTGGAAACATCGACCTCAGAGGGTTGTAATGGCCGAAAACCTGTTAAAAGAATACATTTCTTATTTACGAAATTCATGTTATCTAATGTGAATACATTTTCGCTTTTATATTTTTTGTTCGAAAAAGGTGGTCATTTTGAAATTTTCCATTCTCGTTTAAAACATTATTTAAGGCAAGTGAAAAATATTTTAATTAACATTAAACGAGTAAAAACGCAAACTATTTTATACTTTTAACACTTACTTTTGTTCTGACATACACATGTGTTGGCAAAATCTTTCTGATGATGACAGCCTCGCTGTCGAAATGGCTATTATATTTAACAAAAATAAGTGTAAAATGAATAAAATAGTTCTTTACTCATTTAATGTTAGTCTTCCATTCTCATTGGAAGTTTCCTGAAAGGTGCTTAAAAAGTAGCATGATCAACGCCCGCACGTAAGACTTCACGGAATCCGTTCAAGGCAAACTATAGGTATACAAGCGGAGCAGTTGTGCCGCTTGGGTATAAAATTATGAAGAAAACTTTTTATTTAATTTTTAGTTGTCAATTCTTTTTAAATATTCCATCTAATTAAGCACTTTATAAAACAAATCAATTATTTCACTAAGTTCAATATTTAAACAGTTATGAACACAAATACTTGATGATTTGACCTTGAATGAAATTTCTAGAAGCTAATTAGGTAATATTTTAAAAGCAATAAAAAATCTTTCATTTGTGTATATTTTTAAATGTAAGCAGTTCCCAATTCACAAACACTGTACGTATGTCGAATCCTGTCTTTTGGAAATATTATAAGGAGTTATGTATTTTTTCAAAATGTTTAATTAAGAAGTATATGAGTATTGTGTGCATATTCTTCAGTTATTTTAATTCTTGTTCTTCCTTCTTCATTCTTTGATTGAATTGAATTACAAAACAAATACCTAATTATGTTATTCTCGAAATTAAAATAATATTTATAGTTAAAATCGACTGCCTGCTTTTATTTACTATCTAATAAAATAAATGTAAAACAAAACGTGATCTCCAATCACAAAGACTTAATTTAAAATGTATTTTTGTATGTATTTAATTCATGAGATTTATTTAAATTAGATATGAAATGCAGTAAACTTAATGACGCAAGAAGGTACAGTGAACTCTCATTATAATTAATTCTGAAGGTACCGAGAAAAATGTAATTATAACGAGAGAATTTTCCAGATTTCTTTCGAAATGGTAATTATAACGAGAGTTAATTATAACGAGAGTTCACTGTATGTAAATTTTATTTATACGATTTTATCAAAACATGTACTGGTTTTTTCTTTCTTTTCCTACCATCAAAATGTACTCTTACCTTTACATTGTTTTGTTTTGGTGTCAGCATTGACTATTACGACCAAACATACGAAAACTAAGAAAACTACCTTCGACATTTTTTGCTTGTGGAATATAAAGTTTTTGTCACAGATATGTTGAATATTTCGACACACTTTGTTCTATTGGTAATTTATTCAAGTTAACAACAGGTACCTAAATATCAATTCAGCCAAAACTTTCTTCGACCAATGAAAATGAAAGTTGTTGATTTATTAAGTTACTGTTTTTTTCGCAAAATAAAAAAATGTATAAAACTTACTGCAGACAAATAAAACTTGTCTTGCCTAATGAAGCTATTAAATAACACTGACAGACAGTTTGCTATGGAAAAAATCAAAGCTGTATTCAGATATTCACTTCGATGAGAAATATTCAGCTCGTCTTTTCGATGTAAATATTTTAAACTCAGAAGTTCAAGAAAATTATTTTATCTTATTTTTTAAATAAATATCTAGTCCTGTATAATAATTTATTAATCATGATCTACATCAGGCAAAAAAAAACTTTTGTGTAAATATGAACTGTTAATAAAATAGATAAAAATAAAGTTCAACCTGATCTGTGAAAAAATATTATAACATCATCTTAAATAATTTTCTATCAAAATTCTTACTTGGACAATCAGAAAAGAAAATAATTTTAAAGTGATCTTTAATTTTCGTAAAGAACCAATGAAAGTTTGTTTCGAAAAATTCCTTGCAGTACATCTTTCAATCTTCGGTCCAAGATTGAAGTTTTCCACTGCATCCTCAACATTATTAAATCTTATATCTCTTTAAGTATAGACAGTGTAAACCTGTGCTCAATGTATTAAGAAACAAATCTAGATAGGATGTCAATCTATTGAAAATTCGCTTGTTTCGCATAAGCGTTACTGAACATTCGCAAAAACGAGTGACCATTTTATTTCCCGTCACAGATCTAATTAATTAAACATTTCCATAACATTGTTGTAAGTTTAGGAAGACTCTTATCGAAGGCCACTTCCCAGTTTAAGCCAAATCCTAATAAATTTCAAATCAGTAAATTTCTCATTTCCCACAAAGGGAAATTTTCCCACGTAAATTTGATGTAATAAGTTTCAACTGCTTGAACTTCAGGAAGTCTGGATTTCCTTATGGTTTCAATTTTGAAGATTGAGAACGTCCAGTGTAGTTCCTGACATAAGCAGATACATGTTCATTAATGATGAAATTCTTTTAAAAAATTAAAAACCAAGAAAAGTTTGAGTGTCACTGGTGCATAAAACTTCCAACTGTTTCACCAGTGACACTCAAACCCTCGACAATTCTTGAAGGGTACACAATTACCTTTTAGTTTTCTCTAAATACGGCAGTCGGGGGGTATCAATGTACGTAAGAATCCACCAAATCCACCAAATTTACATTTGAGCAAATAATTCTACCTATATTTAAGTTGATAGACATAAATTTAATACTGTTTCAAAATGAGAGTACTTTCAACTCAATAAATAGATAATTGGATAAACGTGAGGAATATTGCTTTTGTGAATTTAGTAAGAAATTTATGTTTAAAATGAAAAAATGATTAATTTTTCTTTAAATTATTTTTCATTATTGATGTTAAATATCTGTAATTTCTAAAAATATCTCCTTCCGCGCTAAGAAAAAAAGAATTGTATGGTGTTGCTGCAACATTTATTTCACATATTTATCCTTTCTTCATACTTTTGAAAAGAAATAGAAAATCTAAAAATAGAGAAATCAGAACAAAATATAAAATTTCTGTTGCTTTCGACTTTATTAACTCATCAACCTGTTAACTGGTTTATTGCCCATGTTGACACGCAATGTATCATATTAAATTTATTATTGAACTTTATTTATCGCAAGCCAATTTTCAAAAAGTACTTAATATGTATGTAAAATGATGTAGATAATTTAAACTATTGTCAAGTAGATAAACCTTAGATACTCTTAATAAAAATTTCTTTCATATTAGAAAACATAGACGATAAAGATGACTAATTACGGTCACGACTTGCTGGAAGAGCTTTGGAAGGAAATTTTGGAAATTCATTGGCGCTATTTAGAAACTGAAGAGAGCATGAAAAAGATCGATGAGAGGAAGTTACTTGAAGGCCGTTTAAAAGAATATATCAGTGTTGTTTCGCATGACAGAAAGTTCTTTTTGCCTGAAACAGAACATGTTTTGAGAAAAAGTATAACGCAGATGCCAAATTTTTCAGCATTTAAAGGTGCAGACGGGTTTGAATCTGTTAGTCATTATGCAAGTAATTTGTTTACAAAACCATGGAGAAAAGAATATAGAGTTATAAAGGTATTCCAGTAATTCATCGAATAGTACACTTTACAAACATAAACTTTCATATTTATAGCTTTACTCAGGATTCTATCATCATGAAATCAAAAGCAATTTAATGGATGCTGAAAAGCTTTTCATTGCGATGGGCTACACACTTTTACCTAATCAAACTCTTGTGCTCGATGGTCCAATATGTCCAGATCAAGTGACTAATGTTAGTCGTGATGCTTTAACTGCTTACGTCGAGTGTCAAATAATGAAGCAAATCAGTGCAGAGCTGGCATCTATGAGGTTGTCAGCTTCATGTATCGATATTTTTAACTTTCGTGAATGCCACATTGGTGACTCATCACAATCAATAAAAGGACTCGCCCAAATAATACAATCACGTCAGAATCTGATGTTACGTAAAGGTAATTTTAAAACTACATTTTTTCCAGTTTTATTTTTCCATACTTCATATAGTACATATTTAATAGTTTTATTTTTCGTAATTACTTATTTTGTTTATTATTTTTTAGATACATTTGCTTTGGCTATTTCTGCACCGCCTTCGCATTCATCTTATTCGTCTCACTATAATTACCAGCAGCTCAACCCGTCTCACACAGTCTATAATAATCATTGTAGCATCCATCCGTTTAATCACAATAAGACGTTACCTATTTCATATTATAATTCTTCTTCTATCTACAATGTACCATGTTCTATGCACAATATGTCGAACAATTGCGTACCTAATTCTGTTTACTGTCAACCACTGCAACAACATCAGTTGTTGCCACATTCTAAGTCATTAGATGATTATGATGGAAAAGTCCCTTTAAATGGATCGACAAATCATCATCGTCTTTCTCTAGATCAAAATTATAAAATGAACATGCACTTATCACCTTTCCAACAGCATCAACAACAATCGGTACCACCATCTCTTGATTGTATAGACGCAATATCATTGAATCATCCGTACAATCAACCTAATGCACGAAATCCTTTACCATTAAATTTATCATCTAATTTAGGTCAAAATCTGAAACAGGAGCAATATTATGCCAACAATCCGAAATTGGATCCCATGTTGAACATAAACAGTCAATGTTCAGGTGCAGCAAGATCTTTTTCAAACGATTGCTATCGCCAGGAAATGAGTCCCTATGATCATTCAACGGCGAATGTAGCTGGGTACCATCGAAAGCTGTACGAAAAATCTGATTCTTGTTCGTCATCAATGCCTGAGAATGAATTAGTCTCATTTGGAAACGAATCAATGACATTGAAGCCTAAACAAAATGAAGTGAAATTACGAAGTAGTCTTAAAAAAAACTCACATTGTGGTATTTCCGATTATAATGATGCTTTGGAACATGAGATGAATGAGCTAAGGGCACTTCAACATACAAAAAATGAAATGGCACTGAATGAAATGAAATCAAAAGATGGAATTGGCAATTATCACACTTGGGATTATGTATTTAAAAATCTTGAGAAAGACACTAGAGCGAAAAACAAAAATATGATGGGAAGTTATAATGAAAAAATTAACAACCACAACCTGCAATTAGAAAATTTAAGAATATCGTCAACATCAAATGGAACTCATGCTTCAATTAAAAATGCTTTGAAAAACAATGAGATTTCACATCCAACGTCTGAAATATCAGAAAACCCATCGCAAAGTATCAATCATACTTTATTAGTACAAACAACAAAACCACGTAATAAGTCTTTCACTACAGCTACAGAAACGAATAATTATGAACACAAATTTTCATCATCTACAGAGGCAAATGGTTATCCAAAATATAAATCAACTCTGCAGCCGCTTATTGTTGTTCCACCAGGTGAGTGGAGTTGTCGTTTTTGCACTTTCTTGAATCCCAACTCGAAAAAGATTTGTGAAATGTGTAGCAAAAGTAAAGATTTTTATCTTGATGCTGACAAAACTTCATCAACGACAGCGACATGTGTATGAAATTATTCCTAATAAATGTTTACAACGATAAAAATAGAAAAGGAAACAAAAAAAAAGTTCTACCAGGTAGTAAAGAGACAAAAAATTGTAAGTTTTCACTTTTCCTTCTACTTATTGACATACATTTTTTGGATTTGTGCTGTGATAATGATTCGAAGAAATATTTTGAGGAAATTTAAGCATGAGAAATCAATAAATTTTAACTGACAGTCTTAATAATGATGATGATTATGATATTGAAGCTTTTTTTAAATGAAGTTCTTCTGTATTAAAAATAAATATCTATCAACAATAAATTTTTTTCAACTTAACAAATATCATTCGTTTTGTTTCAAGTCATTTTCAATATTTATTGAATTAAAAGAACAACACATTAATATACATAAAAAGTGAAAATAATATTAAGTGTATACTAATGAAGGTTTTATGAATAAACTTTGTTTTATAAAAACATTACAGATGTTTAATGTTAAAAATTAATTTCATTTTTTTTCGTTGTTTTTACTAGGTAGATAAATGATTTTTACTAATTGATCAAATCAAGAAATCCTATATCATACCAAATTCAAAATAAACAAATAAGTGATTCTAGTACAAAATAGTGCCAGCGGAAATGTTGAATGGCAAAAGCGTGGATTTTTTTTCTCATATAGGTAGGTATGTATTTATGGTACCAGAAATTATAACAAATAATTTTATTTATTCATTTATTTACATATTTATTTAATTGAATTTAAGCTACAAAAACAGGTAATAAAACCCCTATGTTGCAGCATATGTTTCTAACTGTCATTTGTTAAATTTACAATTAACAACATAAGTATTCATCATGTGGTGCATAGGAGAAAATTCTCCCTCGAAAACTCTTATCTATGTACAATTTCAGAAATAAAATATAAACAAACAAACAATTCTCTTATTTACATATGAAGCGATTTGGGTTAAATTTGTTGCATAAATAAGATGAATTATTGATTAGAATTTTTTTATATTTAATGCTTATTCAAAACTTTTGATAGAATTTCAATATTGAACTGTTGTAGACAAATTAAATATGGTACAGTCTCTAATCATAATTAAAAGCAATTCGAGAGATGTTTTTACTATTTATATTAAAATAACTCAATAATATTTCCAAAACACATAGGTAGGTATTTTATTATCTCAGTATCAGAAAGATATTTCATGAATTATTTCAACACAACTGCATTCATATTTTCGCTACCACTATTTTGTACTACTATTTAATGAACTAGGTAGGTAATTCTTTGTGATTATCTAAATGTGCAAAGTAAATATTTCCAATCATCCAGAATAAATGTACCTAGTCGAATCCAAATTTGGCTAATGACTTTGATTAATTTAAAACATGAAGAATTTATATTTCTGGATTCTTAACCGCTTTAGTGTACCTACCTGCACTCCCTACTCTGATGATGAACACTTAGTTATTGTGGAAAAAAATTATTGTTATACTCTTCAACATTGACCTGAAATTGTTAAGCTTCTGTTTTGGGGACAGAATGTAATCCTAGAAACCTTATTTTATTGGGATTTAAAATTCAATTTGAAGAGATCAGATCACATATTATTATCGCTTACAAAAATTGCTAAATTCCGAATAAAAACCATAAATGTTTTTAGCCAAGTTTTTAGCTATTAAATGAATTTTTAAAGATTTTCAAACATTGAATAGTGTGATTCAAAGTTACGTTTCATTACTTTAGTAATCTGAAATTTTTAATTAAAAATGTAAGCACTGGAACTGGTCAAGATAATTGATAATAGATTTTTTATGAGGAAATGAAAGAAATATTGACATTTAGTTTAGTGTTATTTAAAATTGATTTTTTTATTAACTTTTGCAAATGTTTTTTAATAGATTTTTTTGATGTAAATAAGTAAATTGTCATTGGAAATTGGCTTACATATATGATTTTGTGATTACAGTAACATGTGTTAAATTTAACATAAAGGTTTTGTTTTTCTTCTTGTTCTTTTTGAGCCTATGGTGTTACTGATAAAAATCGTCGAAGTTCTTCCTGAGTATCAAATATCATAACTGGAAATGGTGACCCTGGGACAAGTTCATTGGCCCATTTTACCTCGACTCTATAGTCACCAGGCTCAGTTGGATCATACTGAAAACAAAATAGAAATTATATGGTTTCATTTAATAATATTAAAATAATTATTTTACTTTGCATAGAATTGTTCGATCTTTTTGTGATTCTCTCTGCATTTCCACTCTAAAAGCTCCTTTAGGTCCTCGTACTCTTACAGTCAACTGACCGGCTCCCGCGCCTCTTGTATCGCAGATGAACCTTGATTGGAATGTTGCAAGTACACCATGCTCTATACCTGGGCCATAAACACGCACTTTACTTGCATCGGGTGCTCCAACAACCCTCAAAGAAAAAGGACTTCCAGGAACGTGTTGGCCACCATATTTTATAGTAAGAGCATGACGTCCCGGCTCTTGTGGTTTTATGTTCAATGTAAAAGTTGCATCTCCATGATCATAAAGTTCACAATAAGCGACTTTTCTCGGACCAGAACAGTGTGCAGTTAATTCACCAGGACCAGCTCGACGGGTATCAATCCATGATTTAATTTGCTGTCCTACAACTCCATGACGCAAACCTTCACCAGAACATTTAACTTTAGAAGAATCAACGGATGATCCTATCACAACATTGAAAGGACTTCCTTTAATTAATTTCCCACACCATTTGACATTCAAATGTAATGGCGCTTGTGATGCTTTAGGGGGCGAATATGAAGCCAACCAAATACCCTTCTCTAAATTTTTTTCTTGGATATTAACAGGGATAGATAAATTGTCAGGATAGCTTAGTGTTGCTTCTGGCAAGCCTCCATATGATCCGACTTTTGATGCATCGATTACAAAATGTGAAACTTCTCCAACTTGTGCCACTGATAATCCATGTCCCGATAGCTTAACTTTGTCAGCTGCTTGCTGTGAAATGACATAAGCTTTAACAGGACATTGGCCAATCGACATTCCACTCCATAGTAATTCAAAAGTATGTTCACCAAATGATAAGCCATCAGCAGGAATATGAGTTTCCTGATTTTCTCCATTACCTTTCGCAATGTTTAATTCATTTCCATCAATGACGCACAATAATTCGCCAGGCCCAGCATCTGTTGTGTTTAATTTAACATTTGCTGGAAGAATGAGACGACCTTCGTCATCTAAATATGAACTCCATCCATTTGATGGAGTAACTTTTGTGCTATCAACGCATGATATGATCCAGGGTGATCCGGGCAATGGGCCACGATTTGGACAGCTTGCTCTAATCTCATAACTTCCTACACTCATAACTGTATAAAAGATTTGCCATTCATTATTACTGAGTGATTTTATTCGAGACTCAATTTGTTTGCCTTGTTCCATTATATTCTCAATTTGCACAATGGGACTCGATGGAGAGAATATTTTGAAAGAAGATTCCTTTCCGCGTTGTGCAACTTCAAGACCAGTTCCAATGGCACGAATTTCTGATTTTATGCTTAGAGAAGATACAGCAAATGTAATTGGAGTTTTCACTTGTTCACCACCATAAAGTATGAAACATTTGTAATGACCTGAGAGTAATGGCATAAATTCTATGAACTCTTCCTCTTCTTTATGCATAATGGTTACTGGTATATTTTGACCATTAGGTGATAACACTGAGATGTCAACATCAGCATTTCCTGCTTCCTTCGTGTTTAAAGAAAAACTAATTGCTTGATTTATAACAAGATTACTTTTCGTTATATTCATTAATCGGACTTTTGTAGGATCATAGCATTCACAAATAAATGGACTGCCTGTTAAAGGCTTTGACTGATGAAGAACATCGATCTTACATCTTCCACTTTTCTGTACTGTGAACTCAGCTTGTAAATGTCCACTTTTCGTTTGATAGCATCGAACAGGAAGTGCTTGGCCTCCCGTTCCTGAATTATTGTTTGAAAGTTGTTCGACTACTACATCAAATTCACTTGCTGACCTTCCATTTGTGTCAATTGCAAAAGATGTTGTTTTTCCCACTCGAGCTTGATAAAGACCAAGACCATGAACACAAATATCTTTTCCAGTTGATGGTGGCAAAATAACAATTTCTATAGGTTTCATTGCGATTGGTGTTCCATTAAACATTATTGCAACTTTATGTGGCGCGATTCTTGTTGGATGATAAACAATTTCCCAAAGTGAGTTTTTCGACTGGCGAATTGAGTAGGGGACTTCAAGTGAGCCACATTTTACTATAGCTGATAATGTTCCTGTACCTGATTCTGATAACGATACAACTATAGTCGCAGGCCGATTACATATTGCTTGACCAACTTCTACAACTTTTACCATTGTTGCATTAAAAACATTGACGTTTCTTGTGCTTACAATGGTTTTAGTCTCACGGTCACTAAATTTTATAGTGTAGGTTCCAATCTCAAGTGTTTTGAATTCAGCTTTGCGTTTTCCAACAGTCGTATAAGGAATAATTTTTCGGTTAGGACCTAACACTTCAAGAATATAATCATTATCAATTAAGTCAATGATCATTGGACTTCCGACTTGAATATTTTGAATATTTTGTTGAACATCACACTGAAAAAATGAATATGTAAATTAAATTTTATACTTGTAATATGGAGAGTAGTGAAGGAATTTTTACTTACCTTGAATGGGTTGCCATGGATTGGAATGTCGTTAAATGTAATATTAACAAAATGAGGTTCGGCATTTTGTGGTATAAATGTCACATCATAGAGCCCTCTTGCACATGCTGTAACCTTAGAGTAAATGTTAGATTATTAGCGTGAGAAACATAAATAAATTGTTCTTGAAAAATAAATAATGGCATAAAAAAATTGAAAAAATGTCAACATTAAAATGACTGAGTAGTTTGAGAAAGTGATGTATAGGATATTTAATGGGTTATTTTACTAATCATTTTAATTAAGGAGTTCAATTGAAGAAAAAATTGAAAAACATACGAATGTAAAATTGCTTCGACAAACATTAACATTGACGATTTTATATCGATGTAAAATTTTTATTTAGATATGTCACTTTCCTTCATTTGGTATTAAATGTAATATTTGCTGTAATTTTCTAAATTACAAAATTTTAGAAGCCTGAAGAAGATGACAACAAGTCATCAAAAGGTTGTAATTAACAGTAAAAGCACAAAAGACAAACCTGACTGATAGACATTATTTATTCTTTAAGATTACATCACCAGTCAAAAAACTTCATATTTATAAATAAATTTTATAAACAAAAAAACACTCACTTCAGCTTTTACGGTGTTATTAGCCGTTGATACTACTAATTCCAACGTTCCTTCACCAGCACCCGCAGCGTCGACATTGAATGTTATTGGTATACCAATAGGGCTGGGTGAAGAGTGATTTAGTCCACTAATTGAAACTCGGGAGACATCAAATATATTACAATTGAAAGGTGAACCCGCAATATGTTGTTCTCCAATTGAAACACTATTGGTGAGTTTTTTTTATTTAAAAATTATTTCAACAAATCTTATCTATCCAGTATTTTGGATCAACGTAAAATATTCCATTTTTAATATCATTTTACTGACCTTATCAAATGCCTTCCAACAATTTTCGGTCGAAAAGTAGCAAACCATACGTTATTACGAAGAGTAAGTTTAGAAGGAACGTTATCACCTGTAGGACTGGTAATATAGACTTGTGGTTCAATGAAATCAAATCCTTCAAGTTCAAATACATTGTCAATGTTCACTGGTGCTTGCCGTAAAGCTTCTCCACTAGCCATTACTTTCAAAGATGAAACTGGTTGTGGTAGAATATTACAACTGAAAGGTGATCCAGGAACAGGATGCCCATTAAATCTAACAGACAAAGAATGTTTGGCACCATCAGTCGGTTTAAAATTCACTTTAAAACGGGCATTTCCTTCGGATGTAACGAAATTTGGAACATTTTTTCCATTTACAGCAACAATAATTTCTAGATTTCCAGCTCCTGCTTGACTTGCATTGATACTAAAGTTTACGCTTTTCCCAACGATTCCAGATTTGATATCAGACACAACGACTTTCTGAGCAGAATAAGCTTTAAGTAAAAATGGACTGCCTTCAACGTGGCTACCATTTGGTGGTAATCGAACTTCTATAGAATGATCGCCTACATCGATCGGTTTGAATTTGATCTTAAATCCGTTTTGTAAGAGAACTTCTTCAACTGTAACTGGTACAATTCTTCTTGCAGGGCCAAGAATTTCAGCAATTGGCTGTGTGGATGATTGTACGAAGAAATCAAATTCTTGATCTACACTCACTTTGTCAAGTGTTTCGATTCCAATTATTCGAGCTGGTGACGCAATCTGTTCAAAATCATTTTATTTAATATTTTTCTTCTTCTATTATTTATAATTTTCTATGTAAAAGAAACTCACGTTACAAATAAATGGACTTCCAGGAACATCTTGTCCATTAAACCTCAATTCAACTGTATGACTCAATGCATCTCTTGGTGTGAATGAGATTGCGTATGTATGCTGGCCTTGAGCTTGTGCTGATGTTGGAACACGGCCATCATTAACAGTAACTTCTCTTTATGGAAATTTAAATGAATATAAGGGACAAAGCAATAAAAAAAATATTATTTACAAGTTTCCTGGCCCAGCTTGAGCAGTCTCTACTAAAAATGTTACTGGATTTCCTACTGTACCATTAGTAACATTTTTTACTTTTATAGCACTGACGTCATAGACCTTTGCTGAGTATGGACTTCCAGCAATTGGTTGACCTTGAATCATAACGCTAATTTTATGTTCACCCACTATTCTTGGAACAAACTCAGCCTTAAAATTTCCATCAGATGTTTGAAGAACTTGTGCAGGAATTGAATGCCCTGTCGGTCCTGATTTTTTGGTCAGTCGTAAGTTAATATTAGTTAAATTTGTTTTAATCAAAAAAAACTCAAAAGATTTTTAAGAACGTTCACATAGACTGCAATTTTATATTACTGAACAGTGAACTATCAATTTTTTTAAAAAATTGATGGTTAGAGAATTTTGGAATGTTTAAAAACAAATTTTGAGCGATTATGAATTATATTTTCCCATTGAATAAGTAGCTTGTGAGCAATTAGTAAGCAAGAATAAACCACACACTCAAAAACATAGAACTGAACGTATTATTAGTTGGGGGTAACACAAAATTTTTTCCGATGTTAAAAATTGTTCACATACTTTATTTTATTAAAAGTAAAGCAAGTATTTAACTAAACATAAATTATTTACTGCAGAAATAGGCGACGTGATAAATTAAAGCGATCAATGGATATTAACAACAATATAAATTTGATTGCTATTTACAAAATAATATTTTGCACATTTAACAAAAAGCATTATGAATTTTCAATACGTACACATTCAGATAAGATGTTCTCTTTCAGAGTTAAGAACCAGTAACTTCATATGTGCCATAATTGGAGTTAATATAATGTCAGTTATTTCGAATTCACGATTTAAATTGGAAAAAAGAGAGAAGAAGAAGTTTTGTTAATAAAAATAAGTAAGTGTAAGGAAAGTTGAGTGTATTGAATTTTAGTTCAGTAGTCCTCGTCGCTCTGAAAAATATATAAAACAAACAGAAGGAGGAAGAGGGTCAATTTACAAAAACTAAACATAATTTTTAATTCCATTAAATGAAGCAATAAGACCTTAATCACTAGTAAATAAGAGAAAATTTGGGGGAAATAAATATAAAGATAGAATCTATCTAAGTTAGTTGATTGAATAGGGAGTTTTTATTATGTTTGGTGAAAGAAAAATTCTGAAGTAATCTAGGTATCTATATACATTTCAATCGAATGTGAGAAAAATCTTAACCTGAAAATAGGTCCAACCAATCTTTAAAAATGCCAATTTTGGTCATTTTCGAACTATTTTGAATAAATGACAAAACGTTTGAATAAATGTAGTATTACATATCTAACAATGTATAATATTGCATGTTCTAAGGAATAGTGGTGGGCACTTTCTGCCGGTTCGGATTGCCAGTCCTTTAGTAGAAACTCGAAAAAATATTTTTCGTATCGAAGAAACATAAAAGCATTGACTTGGATGCTTCAATTTGTTGCTTGAAAGTAGACAAATGTAAAAAAAATCAAAGGATTTTATGTTTACATCAAATTGAGATTTTTTTTAAGATAGTACAAATGAATTGCCAATCTTTGAGATTTCTTGAGGGACTGGGACTGTGGGATTGCCAGTTTTTTTTGCCGGACTGTGCCCATCACTGCTAAGGATCTAAGTAAAGGTATGAATCATATACAAATTTACATCAATGATTAAATTGCGATAATAAGTATGACAATGATGGAACATATTAATTTTCATTCTAAATATTTTACTTACCTTCAACATTAACCTCTATGTCATCCAAACGACCTCCAGCCTGACTTATGATAAGCGAGTTTGGTACATGAACAGGTCCTGGACCATTCAGTGATACTTGAGGCCCGGATAAATCGCCACTTATTTTGACGTGAATTGGACAACCAGGAACGGGCATTTTATTGAAAGATACATTAATTACATGTTCACAAGCTTCTGCTGGCACAAATGAGACAGCAAACCTTTTAATGAGAAAAAATACAAACATGATAGATATGTACAATGTTTAAAAAAATATTTTTATGCTCACTTGGCATTTCCTTGAGGATGAACTTGTGTTGGTATATTGTGACCTTTAGCAGATATGGTAATTTCTAAATTTCCTTCTCCAGCTTCTCCTGCATCAACAGTAAATTGAAGAGGGCGTCCCACTGATCCTTTCGTTACAGAACCTACTGACACTCTTTTAGCATCATAAGATTTAGCTGTGAACGGAGTACCCTAAAATTAAAAAAAGAAAATATTAATAAGTGAATGCTAGGAACCACTTAATTAATAATTTGATTTACATTGACAGGATAACCATTGTAGTCAACATTGATTGTGTGAGCCCCAACATGAATAGGAGTAAATTCGGCAGTAAATCCTGAATGAATATTACCTGTTACTCGCACAGGCAATTCACCAAGTGGACTTCTAACGCTTACTGCAAGCTCTGCAGCTCCTCCTCCAGAAACCTACGAAAAAGATAAAAACAAGTTATAAAAACAATTTAAATTTTGAGAACATTAAATGAAAAAGTTGTTTCTTACCGTGATAAGAAAGGAAGCAGGAATGTTTAAGGGAATGAGTTCAAGATTAGAAAGATTTAATGACACTCGACTTGTATCAGCAATAGAGCAAAGAAAAGGACATCCATGGACAGTTTCACCATTAAATTTGATATCGATTATATGTGGTTTGGGTTGTTCGGGAGTAAAAGAAACTAAACATTTCCCTCCTCCAACCACTTGAACATGATTGGGCACTTCACCCTCGTTAATAGAAATTTCTAATTGTCCTTCACCTGCTGCAGATGCATCAACGCGAAACTGACAAGCCTGTCCCACAACACCACCATTTACATCGTTGACTTGAATTAAGCTTGAATCATAGACTTTTGCTATCAATGGACCTCCAACAAGTTTTGTTCCCGAGATGGATGCTTCAATTATGTGTGTTCCCACCTCTTTAGGTATAAATTCGATGCGAAATGCGCCATTTGCCACCTCGTTGGTGACATTTGCAACGACTTTACTTTTACTAGGTGAAAGTACCGTCGCTGCAAAGTCAGATCTTGTTAAAGACGTTCCAAGAGGCGGCAGAATCTCAAAAACCGCTGGCTGATTTGCAGGCACAAGGCGTGTTGACTCGCCAAGTGCAGTTAATCCAGGAGACGAAGGCATGATGTCAATAAGCCAAGGAGATCCTAATCATAAAATTATTAAAATAAGAACAAAAAAATTGTAATAATCCACAAATATGGACTTTGATTGTTATCTTTCATTAAAAATATAGTTATAAAATTATTAGAAAAATCTGTATTTGAAGTTTTTCGAACCTGGACTGATGACTTACTTTAATCGAAAATTTTAATTGTTTATAACTCGAGAACAATGGCTACCAGAGAGCTGAGATTAGTATCCTTAAATTCAAATTTGTGCGATTGAATGTCTATTTACATATAAAATAATTCATCTATGTGTCAAGATCGGACGTTTTTATAATCTCTCATTAGATAAAAATATTATGATGAATAATAAACATAAGCAACATAAACTCGTATAGAAAACAAACGGTCAAAAACATGAAACAAATCATTTAACGAACTCTGCACGTACTTGTTTGATTAAACAAAAAATTTCACCACTTTCACTTCAATATTTTCTATATTATGTCTTCTATATATTGAAATGAAAACAAGTTTTTAAACCTTCAAATTATCTTATTTCTTCTGTTGTTATATCTGATGTAAAATAGGTTAAGAATTCAACACATTTATATCATCATTTTCATAAAACAGGTCTGCAAATATAGAAAGAGATATTTGTGCCAAGAGTGAACGAACCTATTCATTTATGTAGATCTTTTTAAAATTAGCTTTTAAAGATATTTTAAGGAAATACGAGAAAGTATGGAATTTTTTTCAAGCATATTGATTAAATTTGATGTAAATTAGTGAAAAAATTCCAACTTTTCCAAATTCAATGATATTTGACAAGAAATTTTAACATTTAACAAGAGTAACTGTAATATTCTTAATAGAAATAATATTTCTCATACTTTTTTTTCAAATTGCTTTGCACGCAAATAAATTCTTATGTATTGAACAAAAAAGAAAAACGTTTTGATCTTGAAAATTGAAAATATTCTTACTTTAAAATTCGCACTATTTTGCAGTTAATTTCTATTTTATTTCAAATGGTCAGAAATATTATTTCAAATATTTATTTTAAACGATAACAATCAAATTCTTTTAGGTTGGCACGTCATCAAAATAATAAAAGAAAGATGGCTGCACAATTCTTTTTTAAAATTTTTCACTTTACAGTAACAAATTTTTGAAGAAAAAACATCTGAACAAGTTGAAATCTCACGACTAACTCTCATAATATAAATTTCTTTTTCAGAAAATTCAAAACAAATGTTGAGTCACGTTAAACCCAAGCAGTAAAGAAGAATGAAGGAGAGAAAGAGAATAAAAAAGGTAAATTGGGAGTTTGGCAGCGAGAAACTTGAATACATAGCTAGCAAGGTAGCAAGTTCCTCTCTTAAATACAAACATATTTTTGAAAAAATACCTGCAGTAGTGTCGAGTAATTGTTACTATCTATATTTAGTAATTAAATCATTTTTACTTACCAGGCACTGTTTCACCATTGAATGTGATCTGCACAGTGTGAATTCCAGTTTCATGTGGAGTAAAACTAGCAACAAATGTTTGTCCTCCTAAACTTCGAACAGATGATGTCACACGACCCCCATTTACAAGTATTTCTAAATTTCCACTGCCAGCTTTCGATCCATCTACTGTAATATTATAATATTGATAAATATTTTCCGCATAAATTTTTATTTTATTTCCTTACTTTCAAACTCAAAAGGTTGCCCCAAAAAACCGTCTGGTTTATTGCTCACTCTGATTGCCTTTGCACCATTTATACCATCAGCAATTGATACAAAATTTGAACGTTTATCTTTATAGGATAAGCTTGATTGTAAAAATTTATTATGCTGTGTATTGCTATTGGTTTCATCCTCAATTGTTGATCGGTCATAAGTTAAATAACTATCCAGTTGCTTGTCTGCTATATTGTTCAACGATTCCAGAGAGTTTTCTGAAAACATATGCTTTGTTTTGTTCAATACATCCCAACTATCACGACGTGATGCAGTCTGCGTGTTTACTGGCGAAGTTATTGGAAAATAATCAATATTCCCAGAAGCATCGGTTTTCGAGTTCACAGAGTTATTGATCATCGACTTATATGAATGTTGCGAAACTTTATAAACTTCAGAATTTGAATTTATTGACGAATTCAAGAGATTTTGAGTGCCTGATATATATTTCATACTTGAATTATCATAAGGTGAAAGATATGAAGTCGATATTCTCGGACTTCGTCGTATTTCTTCACTTGCGTTTACTGTCAAAGGACTATGAATAATTGGACTTGAACGCATATTTATTGGACTTGACATTAATATAGGAGAATCATATTGTCCATAAGATTTCTCAGTTTTGAATTTAGAAATGTAGGAAGAAGTATTGATATTTTCATCTGATAAAAAATTAGTTTTTGAAACACTTTTTCTTGAATATATATTTTCAACTTCTGGACTCTGACTTTTTTTAATATCGTTTCTGACACTATTTTTAAAGTGTGTTGATTGTCCATGTTGTTGCTCGTCTACCAATTTTGGGCTGTATAGATCTCTTCCAGGTGATCCAAACCTAGTTGGAGACACAAGTCTTGGTGAAGAATATAATTCGCGACTTGTTTTTATATCATGACGGTCATCAAATGCCGGTGATAATTGTGGTGAATACGACTTATAAATATTCTGCGGTGAGTATAATTCCCTTTTGATTGGCGAATCAGCTGTTTTCAAATATGAAGAATTAAAATGCAATGAAGGACTTTCAGAACGATTTCTTGTACTATCATGAGATGAACTGCTTCTTGTTTTTCCTGATCGACCTTTAGTACCAACTCTCATAATGAATGGCGATCCTTTAACATCATGTCCATTGAAATAAACGTAAACACGGTGTTTTCCATTTTGTCTTGGCATGAATGTCACTCGATATTTATTTTCAACTAGCTTTTCAACCGCACACACTACTGACTTCTTCTCATTGACTATGTCAACATGAAGTTCACCATTTACACCAACACCACGAGCATCAATTTCAAAAACGTGTGCTTTAAATGGCATTGCACCATCGATTCCATGGACAGAAACACCACTAGGATCAAAAACAGCACATGTGTAAGGTCCACCTTGAATGTGCTTTCCTTGATAAGTTATCGCAATTTCCCAAATACCTGCTTCATCTGGTTTAAATATGGCACTGTGTCCTTCATCATTTTTTTTAATGGGCATTTATGTGAACGTCCTGAAGGAGCATATGCTGTTACGAGAATATCTTCTGTTCGTGGAGCTCCTGTAGCATTAACCAAAACCTCTACGAGACTTCCTAATGCACAAGGAGCCATTCCTGGCGGAGTCACTTGAACAAGTCTAGGAAGAACACGGAAGAAATGACCTCCAAGACGGTCACTTCCAATTTCAACTAAAATTTCATGCATTCCATAAATATCGGGAACGAAAGTTCCTTCGCCTCGATGATTTAATTTAACAAGTGTTGCAACGCCCTTATCATGTGGTGCAACGACATAAACTTTCATATTAGATGGATCAATGTCTCTTGAAAGTGTTTCTACACGAAAGTGGGTAAGTTCTGCAACACGTCCACTTGTACTTTGCAAATGTACAGCAATCATATCAGCAAGAGGTGGGCGAGGAGTAACCCACTGTAAATGTGTTGCATATGCCATGATTGCCAAATGCTCTACATCAGGTTGAGTCATGTCTTTGGGAGAAAGCACCGGATTAATACCAAATCGTTTCCCCGATTCCATTGCTCGCTTCATATTGCTTTCCCACATTGCAGGGTCGCTACTAATTTTTCCTTGATTTGGTACTGCACCACCTAGACCTTTGATAATTTCACAGAAAACTTTTCCATTATTCCAATCAGACTAAAACATATAAAATTAATCTTATATTTTTTAAAAGTATAAATAAAAATTTTATTTTACCGTAAAATTATTTACTGGTACTTTAATTTGGCTGTTAACCCATCTCATAGAAGTATTGTAACCTGGCCCATCAGGTTTCATAAAGTAGGAAAGATATGTCATTCCTGATAATTCATCAAGCCATGGCGATGCAAGATATTCAGGCTCTAAGATTTTCGGTACTCTAAAATTCCTATGGGCGATGTTCATTGCGGTCTCACAATTACGCACAGATTGGTTTGGATCAAGTGATTTCCAATGAGGAAATAGACCTTCAAATTTATGATTTTTTGTTAAATATACAATTAAATTAAGAAAAACAATGCTGAAGAAATTAAAAATTTCTTGGCTCACCTGGCTCGCAATAATCCAAAAGTGCAGACAGTAAAACTCCGCTGTTCCAATCAGTGGTAAGATTGGATACTTTGCATTCAGGGAAAGCAGCTTGAAGCCATGCTAACATGAGCTTTCTTGGAGGGAATTTGCTCCTTCCTATTTGATAACGTACAATGAGTGACCATATTAAACCAAGGATAAGTTTAAGGTTTCCATTTATTATGTCAACATTTCCAATATTAACAAGCTTAATGCCATCGTCTTCAATCGCTTTTAATGCTTTTGTTGCATTTTCAAGAAAATGGTGTTGATTTGCAGGATGTTTGTTCCACGATGGTCTTAATCGTTTTTTTTGCAATGATTCAACTAATGCACACAAATGGGTACCATCACAAAAATCAATTGATAAATCAGAAACCTTTAAGTAATATAAATTGTCATAAATAAAGAAACTAAATATTCTAAATAAATAATTTAAAAAAGTATGATTAAACTTAATCACTTACTTGTAAATCTACATCACGCAAATGTTCGTTCACCCAGTTTCGAAATGTATTTGCTTGAATTTCTACCCACAAGTCTTCATTCCCGCGTATATTCATTCCTTTGGCAGCAGTACCTTCTGGTGATCTTGCAACAAGACCAGCTTGTGTAATTTTTTGAATATCGGTCGTGCCATCAGAATTATGTTGGAGAAGACCACTATGAGTTATTCGAGCTCCTTTGGGTAGTTCCATTGTTACTCAATATTTTTTTTAAATTTTTCACATTTCAATATTCTTCTAAAAAATGAACAAAAACATAGTTATTGAAGAGTTAAAAATCGCAAAGTAGCATCATAAACAATATACCTAACAGAAAATGAAATAAATTTCTCGAAGAAAAAAAAAGATTCCATCAATTTAAAAATTTAATACAAAATATTTTTTATCTTGTTTTTATCATTTCTGTCTGGAAAAGTGTATTGCATTATTTGTTTCTTTTATATTTCTAATAAGTTTATAAAATAATATGAAAATTGAGTGTTTATTTCTATATGTTGCATATAAATATTAAATTGCTTACTCGTCAAGAGAAATAAACATTAAATACCAAAGATCAATAGTAAGAAATATATTTGCAATGATGTCATGACTACGTTATTTTTATATTAAAAAAAATAACAAAGATGTTTAGGTTTATATGCGGGGGTATCGTTCAGAGGAACATATGTATCCATGTGTTAAATAAAACAACAAAAATACACCTAATATCAAAAAAAAGTGGGAAAACCTTTAAAAATAGTCATAATTGATATTATTACATTTGGTAGCCAATATTATTGTTTCAATAATAAAGTTATCATCATTATCTTAACAAAATAGAGACCTGTTTTAAATCAGATGGTTCAAACTAAATAAATATATTCAGTCCAATTTTCAAAACGATTTAACCACACCCATTTGTGTAAGGTATTGAAGAGTGTCTTCATGAAGCACGATATATGATCAATTATATACTCATTGCAACTTTTCGCCCAAAAAGTTTACACAAGAAGCCGTAAATTTGTTAATGCATTCTTTTTTACCTGGATTGATTTTTATATTTTCTGAGATTCTTTTGTGCAACCGAACTTAGGCCTCGGAAAGAATTAATACAGCTTGTAATATGAATTAAAATCACAATGGTTAAATATATAAATAAATGTCCACAAATGAATGAATTCATTAGATTGAAAATTTTAAAATTCGGGTTTCTTTCTTGACATCCCTTCAGTTCTTTTACTAAAAATTTCTCAAAGTATTTCCATTTCTTATTCCTACTTTCATTATTTTAAAAGCTCAAGAATTTTTTGGCATATGTATATTAAAATATTGTTTTATCAAGAATTTTATAGTTTTATCTAACAACATTAAATTAATAACTTATTTCACTTTTAATAAAAGTAGCAAATTTTTATGTATAGTTTTTCACTCCGCAGTTTCACTCAATTTATGAAACGCGCAATTTGTTATATAAGACTAACACAGCTTCATTTTTTAATAAATTCAAAAGTCGAAGGTTTTTATGGAGGTAAAATCTTACCCAAATGAATTGTCTTTTACAATCAAAAGCTGAAATCGTCAACTTGGAACTCGAATTAAATTCTTTCAGAGTTTAATTTTGTCTTTTTTTAAGCTTTGACAAGATAACTTTGTCTTTGTTGTTTTTCTTTCTAACAGCATATGTTTAAAATCACTTGTCACTTCACAACAATTTTAAAGAGTTTTATGTAGGCAGAAATATTCAGACAAAAATGACAGACAATTTAATAACAGTTCTTGAAACACGTCGGGTACGGCTAAAAGCTGGAGATGAATTGAAAGTGAAAGACCAATACAAACCAAAATATTCACGAATGACGAAAACCAAGCTGTTACGATTTTATGAGAGACCTGAGAGAAATAAACACTGATAATCTACATGCGCCTATATACAAACCGTGTGAGTGAAAAAACTGAGAATAAGTTAGTGAGTACATGTTTACGAAGAAATATCTATAAGAGCTTCATAATTCCAAGAAAATATCTGAAACATAAAAAAGCTCCACTGGAAATATAAAGTCTTGATTTCGTAATATGTATGTACATAAATTGATATATAAATATGTAATTTGTTTTCAATCAAATCAATAC